GTCCCTCCATCGCTCCACCTGCCCTAATGAGACCCTCCATCTCTCCACCTGCCCTTATGAGTCCCTCCATCACTCCACCTGCCCTTATGAGCCCCTCCATCACTCCACCTGCCCTTATGAGTCCCTCCATCACTCCATCTGCCCTTATGAGCCCCTCCATCACTCCACCTGCCCTTATGAGCCCCTCCTTCACTCCACCTGCCCTTATGAGTCCCTCCATCGCTCCACCTGCCCTTATAAGTCCCTCCATCGCTCCACCTGCCCTTATGAGTCCCTCCATCGCTCCACCTGGCCTTATGAGTCCCTCCATCGCTCCACCTGCCCTTATGAGTCCCTCCATCGCTCCACCTGCCCTTATGAGTCCCTCCATCGCTCCACCTGCCCTTATGAGTCCCTCCATCGCTCCACCTGCCCTTATGAGTCCCTCCATCGCTCCACCTGCCCTTATGAGTCCCTCCATCGCTCCACCTGCCCTTATGAGTCCCTCCATCGCTCCACCTGCCCTTATGAGTCCCTCCATCGCTCCACCTGCCCTTATGAGTCCCTCCATCGCTCCACCTGCCCTTATGAGTCCCTCCATCGCTCCACCTGCCCTTATGAGTCCCTCCATCGCTCCACCTGCCCTTATGAGTCCCTCCATCGCTCCTCCTGCCCTTATGAGTCCATCCATCGCTCCACCTGCCCTTATGAGTCCCTCCATCGCTCCTCCTGCCCTTATGAGTCCCTCCATCGCTCCACCTGCCCTTATGAGACCCTCCATCGCTCCACCTGCCCTTATGAGTCCCTCCATCACTCCACCTGCCCTTATGAGTCCCTCCATCACTCCTCCTGCCCTTATGAGTCCCTCCATCACTCCTCCTGCCCTTATGAGTCCCTCCATCACTCCACCTGCCCTTATGAGTCCCCCCATCACTCCACCTGCCATCACTCCATCTGCCTTTGAGTCCCTCCATCACTCCTCCTGCCCTCATGAGTCCCTCCATCACTCCTCCTGCCCTTATGAAACCCTCCATCACTCCTCCTGCCCTTATGAGTCCCTCCATCACTCCACCTGCCCTTATGATTCCCCCCATCACTCCACCTGCCATCACTCCGTCTGCCCTTATGAGTCCCTCCATCACTCCACCTGCCCTTATGAGTCCCTCCATCACTCCATCTGCCCTTATGACTCCCTCCATCACTCCACCTGTCCTTATGAGTCCCTCCATCACTCCACCTGCCCTTATGAGTCCCTCCATCACTCCATCTGCCCTTATGAGTCCCTCCATCACTCCACCTGTCCTTATGAGTCCCTCCATCACTCCACCTGCCCTTATGAGTCCCTCCATCACTCCATCTGCCCTTATGAGTCCCTCCATCACTCCTCCTGCCCTTATGAGTCCCTCCATCACTCCATCTGCCCTTATGAGTCCCTCCATCACTCCATCTGCCCTTATGAGTCCCTCCATCACTCCACCTGTCCTTATGAGTCCCTCCATCACTCCATCTGCCCTTATGAGTCCCTCCATCACTCCATCTGCCCTTATGAGTCCCTCCATCACTCCACCTGTCCTTTTGAGTCCCTCCATCACTCCACCTGCCCTTATGAGTCCCTCCATCACTCCACCTGCCCTTATGAGTCCCTCCATCACTCCACCTGCCCTTATGAGTCCCTCCATCACTCCTCCTGCCCTTATGAGTCCCTCCATCACTCCACCTGCCCTTATGAGTCCCTCCATCACTCCACCTGCCCTTATGAGTCCCTCCATCACTCCACCTGCCCTTATGAGACCCTCCATCACTCCATCTGCCCTTATGAGTCCCTCCATCACTCCACCTGTCCTTATTGCCTCAGATTGTGAAGCACAACACATCACGCAACAACCTCCGGCACGAAGGCACGGCTCACCTCTGGCGGTCAGCAGATTCATCAAAATAAAGCCGCAGAATGGGAGCCGCTGTGTTGAGATGGCAGTAGGATGTGGTTCAGCGCCTGTAGCCTACATACAGGATTGTAGTTTGAATAAAGCTTTGTTTCATGTGTTGACTTGTATATGCATTTGTTTATTGTGTGATGACTTTCATTCATTCTTTTACTAATTTATTAATTTTTCTCATTGTTGTCAGTAAATAAAAAATAATTATTTAATTAGTTATTTAATTGTTTGAATGAAAATGGAGATATGTTCACTATATACACATCTAGAGTGTATTCATGCATAGTTATGTCATATGACATACATTACATTTTGTTTGTTTTATTGAATTATATCATTTTCAGTAAAAAGTAATATAATTAATTATTGGTCAGCATTTATTGTTGTTATTATTGTATGTTTTGGGGTAGGATAGCAATTCAATTAATTCTGGGGTAATATTAATTTTTAATATTAATGATACGAGTATAAAATCAACAGTTTTCTCCAAAGGTGAATCTTCACACAGCTGCCCAACATCTCCTTAGTGCAGACATTAGGAAAACCGTTCTATAGGGCTGTCGAGTTACTGATGTAATGAGGTTTATATATATATATATATATATATATATATATATATATATATATATATATATCATGGGTTTGCATACATAATATGAGATTTTATACACAGGAAAAAAAATACAAGGTTAAATATATTAATATATATTTTCTTAAATAATTAATTATAATACATTTAAAAAAATGCATTTTTTGTTATTTATAGGCCTGAGGGATGAAACGAGAGTTAAACTCAACAAGAAAAAGAGGAAAACGCTTGTGGATGAAAATGTTTGGATATAAAATAAATAAATGAACAACATATTCAAGAGATGACGATATTGGGGTTTCTTAATAGAATAATATATAGTTCTAAGAATAAGGGGTCATATTAGTAGGGTTTAAAATATAACAACTTAAATCAACCCTAAATGTATTCACAAAATAAATGGGCAGCTGTTTCTTCAACAATACTACCACAAAATGAGCAAGTTTCATCAATATCAAGATATTTACAGATAGATGAATTAAACGTGTCCTTCATATTTTAAGTTGCGCTTGTGATAACGCGTCGTAGGTCACATGACATGATAACGTCAACATGGCGGATGATGTCCGGATCGCATTCATACTCAACGAGATTTGGTTATAAAGTACCTACTCTTTTAGCGCTCGTTAAGTGACTAATCATTGAAATTAAGTACCTACTCATTGAGTATGCGATTCCGAACGCAGCCCAGGTCTTCTGTGCATCCAGACTTTTGGGAGATCGTCTGGAGTTCTTTCACCTTCCTTCGGTCAGAGTCCTCGCGGTGTTTATCCCTGTCACTTGTCTCCAGCTCGGGATTGTGGCTTTCAGGTCGCCCGCCTGCAAACGTGGCTTTTTACGTATACACCTGTTCTGTCTGTCGCAGAGGTGTAGTGGTAAAAAAAGAGGTGGGTAAACTATAAATTCTGGTGGACCACGACGTGGTCACCCGGTAAGGTGGGCCACTGCGTATGTGTATCCTGATGTCCTGATGATGACATTGCTATTAGGCAGGGCTCGACATTAAGCCTTTTCATACGCTTGTCCTGACCTTAGGACAAGTAAATCTGTCATTCACTTGTCCGAGTAAAAAAGTTTCTCGTCAGTTTTTTTTTTTTTTTTTTTTTTTTTTTTTCTGAAACAATATTCTCATCAGTGTTCAATTAGCTTTGATATTTAAATCGGCATATTGTAATATTTGCACCTTTAAAGGGCATCCCCTCCCCAATATTATTAAATGTATGCTTCATCTTTCATTTTAAATTCCTAAATTTGATCAATAAATTCAATTATTTCGAATAATAAGACACTATAGGGCTGATCAAATTAAATCATTTACACTGAAAAATTACAATTGCATAAAATAATGTTATGAAATTGATTTAAATTTACAAATAAGAAACGTTGTGAAAGAATTATCTACTTTTAAACATAACACGAAACCGCCAGTAGGTGGCGGCAGGCGACCGTCTTAATGAGTGAGTCATTGATTCATTCATGATTCAAACGATTTGTTCAAACGGCTGATTCAGGAAAAATAATTGAGGTTGCTTAACATATGTTAAAAATATAAAAACTCCACATTAAGATTTTTTATAGGCAGTATGTTGTTAACTGAGTGTGTGTGCTGCGCTCATTTGTGTAGGTCTATGTCTCCTCGAGAGGCACGAGCGTCAACAGCGCAACCGTCAGTAATAGAGGGTATGCGCATGACGTCCCGTCGGCCGGAGTGAATGCGGTCACGCCCACAAGTGGCAAAAAGACTGAGCGGCAGCATTTGTTTTCAGCGTGAACGCCGTGAAAATCACACAAAACACATCTAAAACGGGAAAGAGCTTTGCGATTGACTGTACAACTAGATTTGACCAGAAATCTGAGGTACTGTATATTTTTACAGACTGCAAAAAGCTACAGAACAGACTATATTCTGCATAATTGGATGTTTTTAAATAAACACTGACAAAAAACTATACAAGTTTTAGGGCTGGACGATATGATGATATACAGTATAACATTAATGTAAGTGATCACTCTGATTTAGACCTATCTATATTGTATTTATATAAAACGTTTACAGGCAAATTGTCTTCATTTATTTCCCCAGCGTCGAAATCAGGCACATATAAATGTCAGGAAACACGATTCCTGGCTGCTTGTCAATATCCATGGATCACTGGATCTTTGATAAGTTGTAAGGAACACTATATCGAGTCCAACTTTTAGTTTAAACTGATAATAGTTTGTTTTACTCGCGTTAACGCAGTTTCCCCTATTAACTCCAGTCACGCAGCAGCTCTTCTGCCACTCAGTCCCGCTGAGGGGGGCGTGTTCCGGCGGGGAAGTGACGTTAATGCATTCCCTCTATAGACGAATCCGGCGAAACTACCGGAAGTAAGCGGGCGCCATTACTGAGCTGTTGCTGGGTAGCGTTGCGCCATTGCCTCCTATTGGTTTAGTTGCAACTTGCCCGCGATTTACGACTGTCACTAACGTAACGTTACAACTTTGAACTTTTATAATGTCGAGTGGGAAAACATGTTCCGTTTTAGATTGTTTCAATGGCGGCAGTAAAATTTCAATTTGGAAGATAAAACATTGTGAGCTACATAAAATACCCCGGGTCGACTGCCCCTGTCTGGTGCCATACGGTTTACACAGATTTCCTGGGCGAGTACAAGACGCGGACATTCGCCAGAAGTGGGCGAAAAATATAAACAGGCAGGGATGGGTTCCTAATAACAACAGCAGGGTAAGTTTTGGCTTGTATTGAATCCCATTTTCCTTTCAAATTGTGACAATGTTAATGTGGGTAACGTTAACCCACCTAATGTTAACTTACCTAGCTGGTCAACGTCAGCTTGCTAGGTAGCTGTCTGTTAGCTGCTAACTTTAACTTGGCTCAGATGTTGTTGGAAAGCTAGTCTGTCTTGTCAGTGACACGAAACACTGTTATTTGTCTAAAATATGGACAGTACTGTTAGATAGTAGCCTATTGTTGTGTACTGTTGTATTCAATATGTGTTACTGTCCAACTAGGCTTGCCTGCTTATTATTTTTATTTGTCGACTCATGTTTATGTTTAAGGTGTATGGCATATAGCAGCTGTGTGTGTGTGTGTGAGAGAGAGAGAAGTCAGAGTGAGTGTGTGTGTGTGTGTGTGTGTGAGTGTGTGTGAAAGAGAGAAGTCAGAGTGAGTGTGTGAGACAGAGAAGTCAGAGTGTGTGTGTGTGTGTGTGTGAGAGAGAGAGAGAATCGATCTATCTAACGTTATCTATCTATGTTATTTACTATTCAAGGTCTGTGGGATACACTTCCCTGATGGCAGACCAACTAAAGAGCACCCATACCCAGTATTGCACATGGGATATGAAACTCATGCTGTAAGTTGATTTCTTTACCATATTCATATCCGAGGGCAAGGGACATTTGTGAGATGGGGGTATTGTAGCTGTACTGTATCTTGCAGGGAAGAGGGTGGGAATACTATGGGGTTATCCAGCTATGCTGGTAAGAACTATTGCTTCCTGACATTGTATCCTTGTTTTTCTTTTATTCTGTGATAATGTTTTGCAGAATAGATCCTAATTAAAATTATTTTCTTATTACCTCTCTGTGTCTAACCATTTCCAATAATACAGTGTATATATGTTACATAATAATGTGAGCAAATTTTTGTTGTTTTCCTGTCCTTCCACAGGGACTTCTGCCATCTGGTCGAGCCCCCCCCCAAAAGAAGATGTGTTGAGCCCCTTACAGTCAACAGATTTGTCAACTACTCCATCTAGACTGGCACCAAGCCAGTTTTCCTTCTCGTGTACAATAAGACCTGTGGTCTCAACTGTCTGCCCTGTGATCCCTTCAAACCATTTTCTAGCTAAAGGCTCAGCTGATTGACCATATCTCGTAGCTGTGCATCCAGCAAACACAGCATTTAATTTTCTTTCAACCCAGTTGCTTGGGTCTGTTTTTTTGGGCACGTCTGATGCCTCACTGCTGGTAATCCTAACTTTTCTTTGGTCCAGCCAAAATTGACAATCCTGGCCCTTTGATTTTGTTTCAATTTTCTCTCTCTCATCTTTCCCACATTTTACATATTTTTCAAACACTACATTGCATAGGTTACATTTATGTTCAGCACACTGTTCATGCTCTCTGGGTAGCCCATTGGTTGCTTTTTTCTGTGGGTGTGCAGTCAGCACCTGATGCAAAATGCTCCCAGGTATCATGGCTAAGCCGGCCAACTCAGGGGATGAGAAGTGTTGTATGACCTCTGCATCAGTCTCAAATGCCATGGAGATAGCTTTCATACTTGTACCCTCATGGTCTGGCCCTTGAATGTTCTCAATCGTGTCTGGTACCACATTCCTCCAAGTTGATTGGTTCCAGGCACACAGTTGGTCCGTGCAGGCTGTACCTGTGAAGCCTCGAGACACAGCATCTTTTAGCTTGTAAAGTAGCCCTGCCGTATGACTGCAACACTTCCCTCTGTTAGCCATGCAATCACAGTGCACATCTACAACTTTCCCATTCTTCCTCTGCAGAGTTATTTGTACAGTATGAGTGTTGTTAATGGTCTGTGAAAATCGGACAGGTCCTTTTAGAACTATGTGTTTATCATCTGGTAGAGTGTGCATTATTTGACCAACCCATCCGGAGCTCAGATAATTTTGACCCTCTATCAGTGACCTGTAGTTGGCATTTTGTTGATCATCGGATGCCAGGCGAAGGAGAAAATACTCCTGAATACCTTTAAAACAACAGAAGGGGCGCATTGGGGCAGTAACGTTAGTAACATTACTGTTATGTCTGTTGTTAATGTTTGATTTGCTTGACTGTGACAGAAGTTTTGTGGGGGGATTGTCAAAACATTTGGTAACTAAATAGAATTTTAAGAAGTTTAGTGACAACATGTTGCAATGTTTACATTGTACAATGACTGGTAGGATACAGTTTTTATTATTGCTTGACAAAGATTTCAAGATTTCAATTCCATTCTTGTGATTTGATTCAGATTTTGATTCAATATTGACTAATTTGGATACATGTTTATTTTAAATTTTATTTAAAAAAATAATCTCACCTAATGCTGTAAACATAGAGGGCCCAATCTGCTGGTATTATTAAAGGTTTAAAATAACAAATTAAATTAAATATAATGCAGTTTTTGTTATAATAACAATTATTTAATGACATAAGTAAAAAATATAAAAAATATGTAATATAGTGCTCAGCAAAATCTCCTCTCTAGCTATTTTTTCTATTCAATTAACATGCTATGGTCATTAAATGGCTTTCTTGAGCTAAATGTAACGTTATGTGACATAATTGTTCTCCTGCTGTTATATTGACCTCTTTCCATGGTTTAAAAACACTAATTGGTCGATATTATGTATACTTTCTAGCTGTACCTTACCCTTGCCTTTTGCAGTGTGAAAATGAGATAAATAATGGACACAAATGAAAAACATGAATTCGTTTATTAGATGTCATTTATTTATTTATTGTTGCCAAATGCACAGATCTTTTTATAGTTTCCTCGTTAGCTAACGTTAGCCTAGCTAGCTTGCCAAGCTATTTTCATAAATAATCTGTAAGATCGTTTGTACCTTCATCTGTGACTGGAGGCCACTGTCTAACATCATCAACCAAACAAGTCATTCTGCCTGGTTGTAGCTGTCATCGAGGGTGCGTTATCACGGAGGTTTGTTTACATACTGGTAACAGCTCAGTAATGGCGTCGCCACAAGATGGCAGCCTACACAGAACGCTCGTCGGATTCGTCTATAGTCAACAACACTGACAGAAATGCAGCGCAATATGAAAGAGTTCGTCTTAGGTTTAACAACCTTAGGTTGTTAGGTTTAACAACCTAAGAAACTAATAATTAACAATATGAAACTAAAACGACATAAGCTTAATTTATAGCTATTTAGAGGTGGATAAACGCACTTTGGAGGTGGGTAAACGCTATTTCCGAATATTGGGAGGTGCGTAAACGGCGTTTACGTGCGTTTAGCCTCCACTACATCCCTGGTCTGTCGTCAATAAACTGCTTACTTGCATTTGGATCTTGAGACTCATTATTTTGACACATCATGCAAGAAAACATGAAATATTCCGGAGGGGATAATATGCTGATGTGATTTGCTGCCCAAGAAACATTTCTGATTATTATTAATGTTTTCTTTTTAAAAAGTCAGGATTCCTTGATGAATAGAAGATTCAAAGTAGATTTATCCGAAATAAAAAAAGCTTTTGTAACATTATTATACATGTCTACTGTCACGTTTGATTACTTTAATGCGTCCTTTCTGAAAAAAAGTAGGCTATTACTTTCTTTAATTTCTTTAAAATGTATTGTATAATGTTACAAAAGCTTTCTATTTCAGATAAATGCTATTATTTTCAACTATGGTTTGTGTGTAATGTGACTTTTTTGTGTGATCTTAACCTGTTAATTAGAATTAATTCTTAGAATTAATTCTTAATTCTAATTTGTCTTAGAATTAAATTGTACATAAATAGGTTAAGCAAAACAAATGTGTTTATGTCTGAGAAAATTGTAAATGCATACAAACCTGAAATGACATACTGTGTGATACAGTACAAATATTTTGAGTGTCCCTTATTTTCCTGTAAAGAACAACAATTGTCCCACATTTTTCTTCTCTGAAGTTGGCATCCCGTCTCCGCCCCTGTGAGGATGTAACACTTGATCTGATATAGAGATAATTATTCAAAGCTTTAGTTTGCTCTGGAAAAGAAGTGGAAACTCTTTCAGTTTAAGTGACTCAGCATTGATCTGAAACCTTTAGTTTGTTCAACACCTTTGAAACCAATGGAGAAAGTCATTTTCTTCTGTGTATTTTCTTTTTGGATTATACAAATCACATCCAGTGGTAAATATATTATATCTCAAACATTCATGAAATTTAACATATCAACCTCAAATACAATAGATATTAACATAGTCTAAAAGGATGTGTGTTTATTAATGTCTCTCCAGATTTGTCAGTAGGAGGATCTTCTGTTCTGAGAGTTCGGACGGGAGAAAACATCACTCTGAACTGCAGCATGAGGAACAGATATGAAGTCGCCTGGTATCGTCTCAGATCTGAAGAGCTCGTTCTGCTGATTTCTGCAGAGAAGGACAAAACCGGGAGAAAACTCCTGAACAACTACAATCCAAACAGCAATCGTATGAACATTACAGCAGACAGTTGGGTCACCAGAGTCTCTTTAACTATTACTGGAGTAACAGAATCAGATTCAGGCCTTTATTTCTATGGGATAAAGTCTGACGCTCCAGAGATGCACTTCGACAAACCCATCAGACTGGAGATTGAAGGTACCAGATTTCAGTTTTTCTCATCATATCTTCACAAACTTATCAGTATAGGGGGTAAGATGAGCCACTCAAGACGAGATCTAAACATATTTTTTGCTTTAAGAGATATGGATCTGGCTATTTGTAGTTGAGAGAAATGCATTGGTTGAAATGCAGAAGTTGAAATCCCAGGAAACACATTGGTTGTTATCTTGATTGTTTAATTAATGGAAACCCGCTACTAAATTTGGTTATGGGTAAATAATGTCTGGTTGTATGATTGTGAGTAACTCTTCTGTCTCTGTAGATGGAGTGACGGCAGGCCCGGATTGCCTAATCGGGAGCACCGGGAGAATTCCCGGTGGGCCGGTCTGTTTTATTGGCCAGGAGGGCCGGTGTTGTCATGGCACTGGGTTGAATGCTCCAGTCACAGCGCAGCCCCACTATTTTTTATTGTTATTTTCTCGCAGCCCCACAAAAAAAGTTAGTTGTTAGAGATGTGCGAACAAAAAATAAGAGATACAAAACATGGATAATAGGCGCAAAGGCGGCGCTGAAAAGGCCAGAATAATACAAAATCTCTAGAAACTCAAGCGGCCAAATAGCCTCAGGGCCGTACCCACCATTGAAGTCTCCGAGGTCCGGACCTCGGTCCTCGAGTGTATAATGAACTTTGAGAAATAATTGCCTAATACTCTAATTTGGTGCTGCAATGATTCGCATATTGCGACGATAACCGACCTCATAATCTGAGCTGCTTCAGAAGTACTCAACACTGCTCGTCGGCAATGGCAAAATGTTTGAGATGACCGATCAAAGCGAGCGGGATTTATGTTCACAGAAGCGCGAGCCGCGGCCGCGCGCGAATCCCAACGCGGCGCTTCACGAGATAAGATGCAAGTGGCTAAACTAAACAGCTGTTTTACCATAGAAGTTTTAAACGACCGACATAAATAATCAGTTTGCAAAGACTGTATCAATCAAAGGTAACCTAAAGATAAAGAGACTGAGAGAAGAAGAATGAGAGAAGGAGATGGAGATGAGAGAGGAGAGCAGGAAGAGCAATAGCCTATTGCATATTGTGCCCAGAATGAGAATAACTTTATTACAATGGATTCCTATTTAACACAGATACATGTTCTTTGCCAATGACAGTGGAAAAATAATATGCCCCCGAACCCAGATCACTTTTGGGACCTTTGTATTTATAAAACCCTGTGTACGGCTATTGCACTGAATAGAAAATTATATTTTTGAAAAATACAATGAATTACAAGGTTGTACAGAACAGTGCACTATTGCAGACTTATATACTGAGGGTGTGAGAAGGCAGAATCGCCACACACCCCTTCCAACTCCCAGAGTTATCCTTCCCGTCCAGATTCAATGCTACCACATCTTCAAATTACTACCGGTATTAGTATTATTTGAAGTT